CCCCCCACCCCCTCGATCACACCAGACTTACCAGCTGGAGGCAGCTATCCATGCTGCCGGCAGTGCTCCTTGCTGCCTGAGTGCTGCACTGTGGCTGCGCGCAGCATGGGTATTTATTGGTCAAATTATCAGCCCCATTGGGCCGATATCCAATACAGCCAATTTTCTTTACGTTGGTACTGATCCAATATCAGACCCATGTATCACTGCACCTCTATCAAGTATCTTTTCTCTTCCCCTGATAGCCCTTCAGCACCAGAAAGATATGATTACAGTCACCTCACTGCCATGTCTTCCAAAGCCTGTGGAAAACACAACTGACCCTTGATGTTGCAGAGTCATGCCACAGCACCCGTGGTGATGACATTGCAGCCCACACCAAGCAATACAGAAAGAGTGTCTGATTTTGGAGCAGATGCCTGATCCCTGCGGTGTGTACACGGAAGAGGACCCAGCCTAGCCATAGACAACCTTACCTTTCCCCGCATGAGGGCCTTGTAAGCAATGCGAATGATGAGATAGGACCAGATGATGTGCAGAACCTGCAGAGTTACCAAGAGTCCATTGAACAGCCACCATGAAGGATAAGGACCAATCAGCTCCCAGCTCTCAAACAGGGTTGTATTCAAGATCCTGAAAGAGGATCCCAGAATGCATTAGATTGGGTGCTTTGCCAATACTGTGATCCTCGGCTGCTAGCTCTGAACTGAGCTAACTGAGCAGATGCATGAAAGGTTTCTCCCCCATGTGAGTTTCTATCGCTTTGCCCCTTTCACAATGCCTGTGCCCCAACCAACAGTCTCTTGGTACAGTAAGGAATAATTTGAATCTAAACTTGTGTCAAACTGTTTGAATGGTATGGCAACAGCAGATGATGTGGACTGCTTCCAAAGTGTAGGTTATATATACAGATCCACATCTCTCCCCATTCTCCAGGGCATGATGTACATTCACAGTGCATTCAAGGGAAGAGACAGCAGTTGCTCATGTCACAAGCACCGCTGGGAAGGTATACATGGTATGAAATGTTTACTGAAGAGCTAGGCCTTACTCGCATGCCTGGGGAAATTTCTTCCTGGCTATAAGTGAGGAAGGAATTTGACCCCAAGTGCATAGCAAAGTTTACTAGTGAAGCTGGTGTTCCCTGGCCTCAGGCTTTTCCTCTGCTCCTCCCACGAAGTCAAAAGGACTGCAGACCAACTAGTGAGACTTAACACTGTTCATACTTGAAGAGGGCTCTGATCTCTTCACTAAGGTTTATCAGCAGTGCCTTAGCGTAATAAAGCTCTTTGGCCTTATCTATGGAAAAGGTAGTTTATGGAGTAATTTTTAAAAAATACCCATGATAACACTTTGCTTTCAGTAATAAGCCTGTTCACAGGTACAGAAATGATCGTCTAGGCCTAGTTTATAGCTGTATTACTGCACAGTTTCTTAGGCATGATGTGGCATGGTCCTACAGACTAAGGAGACTATGCACTAAATGGAACAGTACAGCATCTTCAAATGTTAATGAAGCTGTGAAGCAGGGGAATTGCATTACAGCCAACAGAAAGCATATTAAAGATTTACAGGGCTTCTGAGCTACGTGATGTCAGAGCATGCATCACATCATGGGAAACAATGGAATAAAGAACAGAAAAAGATGGCCTAATTTGTCAAGGGGCAGCAGGGACCCTCTATGAAGGGAGCATCAATAAAGGCAGGCAGGGGTACCTAAACCTTCCTTTATATCTAGACTCTTTTTATTAGTAGTAGTAGTAGTAGTAGTAGTAGTAGTAGTAATAGTAGTAGTATGTATACTAATACAAATAGGATCTTTGAAATGCCCCTACCACTACAACGTAAGTTAAGTGGCTCACTATGCCTATCAGAAACACCCATGAAAGAAAGAGCAAGTAGGTTGTCTGCTATTTACAGAATAAGGATGGAGTGCAAAAACAAGACCAGCTGAGCAAATCCATGTTAAGCAGAACTTGTCAGGCACCTTCTGCAGATGAGTAAACATAGCTGTCACCAAAGTACCCCACCAGGCCTGACCTAATGTGGATGTGGCTGAAGGAAAGGCATATCTCACTGCAAAATGATTAACTACAAGCAACTTCATCTCAGCTTTCTAAATTCAAAACCTAAAGAAAGACCTAGTAAGGCTCCAAGTGAACAGAGCACAAGGACAGTGCAAATGTCCAAAAGTAAAGGAAAGGAGAATAACTAACCCAGAGGGCCACAAACAGAAACTTGCCTCGTGGATAACTGGCCTTTATTTCCATAACGTCTTACAGATAAAAGACTCAAGCCATCCTTTGCATCTTTCTAGGCAAATACTGACTGGCAAAGTTGGGTGCAGCTGTTGCATTGCCTCCATCTTGCAGTTTAGGGGGAGTGGTGATCAGCTGTACATTAGGACTCTGGCCACACTTTGAGTATCTATCCATGTCTTACACCAAAGAAGAATCTTCTCTGACAAGAGCTCAAAACATTACCCTCGGCAACAGCCAGGTGGTCCGCAGCTTCAAGCTACTCTGGGGGACTGGTAGCAAAAGCTGTGAGAAGCCCCAATACAAGGGCTTGACAAAGAAAGGAAGGAACAAAAGTGCCCAACTCACTTACCAGTATGGGTAAATACCTAGTCGAGTCACGATGAACACAACACCAAAAAGCATGAAGGTGGCATCACAGACACGTTGGTATTTGGCGTAATTGGCCAGTTTTGCAGCCTAAAAGAAACAGGATGTGTTACAAGTCTCTCTTCCCCAACACATGTACATGCATGAAAGAGCACTCCAGAGCACATGAGCCCTCCAGTTACCAGGGAGTCTTGAACCAGTAAGGACTAGTCCCCACACAAGGGGGAAAGCTAACAGGGCAGATCAGGAATGTATGTCTACTGGGGTGTCCAGCTTACACTGCCAAGCCAGAGTGGAAGGGGGAAAAGCAGAGAAGCTTTACCCTGCAGCCTCAGCCCATACAGCTTCCACAGAGGCTCAAAGTTCAGGGAGGGAAACAGGAGGGTCACTGACCTCTAGGAGGAAGTCTGAGGCATCGTGGAGGCACAGCACCAGCGTCCCTACCCGCACCATGTTGTTCATATAGGAGAATGTAATAAGTCCAATCGTAGCCAAGTGATGGACAAACATGATAAGAAAATCCTGAAAGGGGAAGATCAAGTTTAAGGAACTTCTGGCAGGAAAACAAATGAAGAGGCTTAGAACAAGGGCACCAAACTGACCAAACAAGAGCCAAATGCCAATGTCTGGTCAGACCTTCAAGCTTGTTTGTATAATCCAATCTGCCTCCCTGTCTGCTCTGGACAAGCTGTACAGCACAGGTAGACCATTCCTCTAACCACAAGTGGAAGGAAGCCCCCAAACCACAACCCACATACAGAACGCTAGTTCTTCTCCCATAGCACCCAGCTGGAGCTTCTGCCCTTCCCCACAATATTCAGACTACTTCCCTGGTTCCTAGCATCCTGCCTGCTTTACCCCAGAAGTCACTATTTAAACTTGAAGCAGAGGCTTCTGGTTCTCACAGCAGCATCCAACAGGTTCTTTGCTTGCTCTGAATTGTCAGGCTGGACCAGTGAACTTGGACACTGTCAGTGACTGCACTGAAATGGTCACTCTCATTAATTTTTATTGGTCATGTACTAAAATGCAAAATTGACCAGTCTACTTTCACTGTCCTGAGTGAAATGCAGAAGTAAACAGTATTCACAGCCAAATGTTTCAGTGCTATTGGTAAAAAGAAACTTGCATTTTGGAAGTTATTCATTTCAAACTGAGATCATTCCTTTAACACCACATTTCACACTGACATTCACTCTTAGTACAGCTTGCATGGACCTTGTGATAGGCAATATTGCCATGTTGCACATCACTAACCCAATAAGCAGCAATATTTACATTCGACAGTTACAGTAAAAGTGAAAATCACATAAGTACAAGTTTGAAAGAGTACAGTTCTGATACAGACTGCAGGTTGACACCCCCAACACAGGCATTACAATTTAGTTTCAGAGAGGATCCAACTGCAACACCTTTCAAAATTCATTTCTTACTTTATCCTGCCAACTACCTTTTGCTGCTTGTGACCTTTGTCTGTGTTTTCCACTAAATTTACCCGACACAGTTGTATTCTTTATAGCCTGCCTTATTCCTCTGAATGCAGTTCAGCTGTTCAGTAAGTCATTTTACAATTATCAGTCCAGACTCTAGACCTATATTGACTTGTTAGCTATGCTTCAGGTTTTAGGAATATATGGTACACAAGTCAGACTAGTGAAAAAGGCATTATATTCTGTCAAATAATTACAATTAATGTAGCAACCTGTCTGTACTCTGTATCTTTTAAGTTGCTATAAATTGTTAGCTTTGCAGTGAATCATATCCCACCAGTTATGTTGGACAAGTTCCACTCAGACGTGTTTACGAAAGTGATGATCAATTTGTTTAAGTGATCAGATGAATCCCACTCCCTAAATAGATGGGAATCTCTCTCTGAACAAAAGACAGTAGATTATCTATACATTTAACAAAGCAGGCCCCACCTGATCACACTACCTGGGGCAAAGAGAAACGTGCTGGTTCCTTTACATTTGTTTGTAGCTCAGTTGGGCAGTAAGAGAGTCTGACTAACTGATGTTGCCTGGAGCTCAGGAATTAGAAATGTATTTTTAAAAAAAGAGCAGTATAAGACCACTATGTTCTTTTTTCTTTTCTTTTTTTTAAAATTGTACCTCATGTGGGGCTCTGTGCTGCCACAGCTAGACTGCTCGCTTAAAGCTAGCTTGAACATCTTTACACTAACACCACAGTCTGCAATGCAGACATAATCTTATGCCCTTAAATCATTTAGCAACAAAGACGAAGGCTAGCCCAGGTATCATTAGGTGCTATATTCCCTAAAGGGATGTAAGTAATCTCTGCGCTATTTTGTATTTTGCTGAAACAAAGACTTTCATCTAGCTTCCCCACATCTGTCTAGGAAACACGCATAATGTTTGCATCATCTTATTTCTCCTAATTAAAATCTACTTTTATACAAGCACAGAATCAACAGTTCTATTGTGCCGTGCTGATGGATCCCCTTCTTCACTCAAGCAAGTGAAAGGGGTTTGGACGGGGCTGCCATTCCAAGATCCTGCGCAGGCTAAAAAAGTAGACGAACCATGAAAAAAGGTGAGCAAGGAGAAAAACAGCAATGCTTCAGCAGCACAATGCATCTACCAGTCCCGTCTCTTGTGGAATGTGTTCAGTGAAATTCTGGTTGCTCTTACCTTTCGTTTAATGTCTGTAAACTGAGAAAACATGAGAGACCAATAGAAGGCCAGCTCCATGATATAGTAATAGTAAAGGCTGGATGTTAGGGGCTGGGAAAAAAAAGACATACAAATTACAAGTTGGTTAAAGGACAAAGGAGTCCAACATTTACATTAAAAGCCACTTTGTTTCCCCTCAATCAATCCATCCATCTCACTCCCTTCACCTTTCACCCCAGAAAGCTGAGGCAGGAGGAGAGGCAGCAGATGCCAAATTAAGGTTTAATAAAAGCCAACTTAAGCAGTTACAAATATATACAAATTATAGACAGACTGTTAAGGAATAAAATTCTCCTTCCATTTTTTCCAGCTACTCAGTTGGTTTAATAAAAGATACCACATCTACCCAAATAACCTTGCCTGCCTTCAGTTTTGGCAGCTTAAGGAATACAAGTTTCCTGTTGGCGTAGGAAAAATAAAAGTAAGGCTTAAGGTCCATGTATAACTGCCCCAACTGAACAAAAGGCAAAAAGAACACCATGATACAAGGTGGCTTGCATCACTGTTTTTGTACAATTGTCTCATCATCCAAGTGCCAGAGGAAATCAATTTTACAATATGGGGATACTCCACTAGCTCATTCACATTTGCTAAAAGGATGTTTTGGCAGTTTCATGTAAAGGCCAAAAAACTGTATGGACCACAGAGACGACTCCATCTGAGGTAGTCCTTCCTTTCCATAGGGGTCAGCAGACCACTGCTTGAAAGCTTGTAAGAGCATCTGGGGCACCCACTCAGTAGATAATGAGAAGCCTTCAGATCTCCTGAGTTTCAACATCACACCTGTCCCAAGGAATAAACCTGGAGAGCTTACAAAAGGTTCAGTTCTCAAAACTTTGGCGATACTACACAAAACAATAGTACGCATTCAAGTAAAGGATTTAAAGCTACCAGGAAACTTCAAAAGCTAGTTCATTAGACTTCTTTTGACTAACAGACCCTTAGGCATGCATGAGTCAACTCCTACCTGGAAAGGGTAGTTGTACCAGCACTGTCGTGTATCCCAAAACCAGGGGGTCTAGAATTAAAAGAACAGATTATTAGTTTACTAGCATATTTCTTCCTATATGCCAGCAATTCTCAGCCAGGGTGCCAGGGAACCTTGGGGCACCACCAGATCCTTTGAAGGGTCCCGCACGGTGTGAAGAGATAAGTAAATAAGCCCACGTTGGACATGTCTCTGCCTGGACAACCCCCAACCCCTACTGCTCAGCGCCTGGGTAAGGAGGTAGGCACCAAAATATATATATTCGTTTTTTAAACTGTGTGCCACACAGCTCACAACAGTTATGGAGGGGTGCCTTGAGTCCAAAACATTTGAGACCCATTGCTATATAGTCTTTGGTTTTGCTCACCTAAAACACTCCTTTACCACCACAGCCCAGGAGCTCCAACATATTCCTTCTATCCAAGCTGCCTTTACTCTTGGATTTCACAAAATGAAAACCATCTATTTCTTCTGGCAATACTGTGTTATTATGCACATGGAAATTCAACTGCAAAGGGAGAGCTCTAAGCAAGGACAGTCTGAAGATATAGATCTGTGTCCTTGCAAAGAAAAAAACCCCCACCGTGGGCTCTACTTAAGAGTGAACAAGTCTATCCTGTTCTGAAGTCAGAGGGAGGGAGAAAGAATCCTCTTGAATCAACGGCAGAGGGCAGATTTTATAAAAGCTGTCTTTCCTGTTTTGTGAGGCCATGGCTCCCAATATGCACCTAACTCCTATTTCTTTTTTTTCTTTTTTTTAAGGATTACAGTCAAGATCCCCAAGCTAGTTTTAATTCAGAAAACTTGGGTAACAACAGCAAGGAAGATGAAGCAGCGCCAGCTTCACTACAGGTGGAGTAGGTTTAGATTAGACATCTGCAAGAACTACTTCACAGTTAGGGCGGCTAGGAGCTGGAACCAACTTCCTAGGGAAGTGGTGCTGGCTCCTACCCTGGGGATGTTTAAGAAGAGGCTTGATGCCTACCTGGCTGGACTCATTTGAGTCCAGTTTTTTCTCCCGCCCAGGCGGGGGGTCGGACTTGAAGATCTACAAGGTCCCTTCCGACCCTACTTTTATGATTCTATGAAACTCTCCAGGGATCCTGGAAAATGACATGGTGCCACCTATTCAATACAATACAAGTACTAGGTAGCTAGATTAAAGTTAGCATGGGTATGTCACATCAGCCAATCTGCAGTGAAGGTGTAGCCCTTAGTCTCATAGCATAATATGTGCAGCAAACAGTAGAAGGAAAAAACTGAGAGCCACACACAAAAATATACAACTCACCGACCAGAGAAATCTGATTCCATAAGAAAATATACTTAAATAAAATGTAAATCTCCACCTGAGAACAAAAGTATAAAAAAGACAGAAGTGAAGCATTTAAATGAAAATGAACACTGCATGGCTAATACTTGTACAGGAAAAGTCAGAACAATTATAAACAGTACTAAATTAACCACCCACAGAAATGAGTTTTGCTGAGTTTAAGTCATCTTTTTAGGGCAAACTCACTAATATTACTAAATTCAACCTTTCATCCATCAGAATAAAAATATTTAAGGAAATGTATGTCCCACACTAATTAACGTGAAGAATTCAGATTCAAACTTAATTGGCGGGGTGTTTTGGAAACATAGGGAAATTAACACTGAATTATACATCTCAGTACATACTGGTACCAAGGCTACAACTTTGAAGAAACATCAAGATCTAACAAATTCCTAATAGAAACCCTGCTCAACACGAGAGATTTCAAATTAGAGCTCAAACCAGTTAGACACGGGACAAATCCTCCTCCCATTGCCATTTGTATATCTTACTTGGTAGCTTAAAGTAGACAAAGTTTTACTAGCAGATGGGAGGGAAGGCAGGGGAAAAGTTAAATGTGGGGAGACTAAGTAGTCATTAGGGAGGAGAAACAAAAGCACCATCTGGAAAACAGAGGCAGGGGGAAAAAACTCTCAAATACTACACTGATGTGGTCCATATAAATTGCTGAGGCAGAAAAAAGCAAGAAAATAAACTGAAGTAGGCTAGAAGAATCAAGAAACCATAAAGAAACTCTATAGACCATCGCCTAAGTCATAAAGAAAGTCAGTTTGGAAAAAAATGTTTTGTTTGGGAAGTCAGATTGTCCAGAAAGCTCTCCCCTGCCTTAAGTGGAGTTACTCAGTTATGGTGAAATGTCACTAATTGCATGAGAGAGAAACCATCCTGAGACATAAGATTATTGACCATTTAGACTTAAATGGTCCTGTAGAGATGTCTTGGCATACATACCACTTTGTATGAATAAATGCTAAAAAAAAAAAAAAGTCTTCCTAATTTCCTCGGTGTCCACCTGCCCCTAAGAAACCCATTTCCATTCATAATCTATTGACCATAAAACATCAGTTAAAAATACAGTGCGCAACTCAAGCTTTAAGATAAGGCCACAATCTGGTGTCTGCACAAACCTACATGCTCTCACAAAATTTAGTGAGGATGGTGGGTTTGTCCTGGTTCCTCCGATGACGAAACCAGCGCTGGATCTTTCGAACATCCCAGTCTAGCTGCTTTGACAACCCTTCTAACCTTCTTCCATCTGGAGACTAGGAGAAAATGAACCAAGAGTCAGACACTGTTCCTGTTTTCCAAAGACCCTTTCCTCTCCCAAATCTTTGAGACTCCCTCTTTGAACCATGAATCGGTTACAAAAATCAGACGGTACACGTACAGAGAAATCATGCTAGAAGGATGGTATTTGATACGAATTCTGTTTTGATACAAATTCAATTAAACTTCTAGCATTAACAGAAGCATAGCATGACAATTCATATATATTATTTACAATATTACATATTGCCATTTTCAGAGACTTTTTATACCTCTCACTTCTAAAATGTAAATCTAAGGGAGGAGTATCTCTACACTGTTCCTAGGAAATCTAGCAGTGTCGTTCTCTTTAGTGGCACAAGTCAGTTCACAAAAGTAGACGAAACAGGGCCTGATAGCCACTGCTTCCAGACAGGCCAATTGCTGAGGTGGGTGATATTAAAACGACACTGGTCTAAAATTAATGAGCTCCATCAGGAAGTTGCCAGATCTCACAACTGCATTTGTGCACAATCTGTATGGCTATGCAAGGCACTGAGCTACCAACATGGTCACAATGGCTGTGTAACAAACTCTAGATAACAGAAACATCTTTGCTCTAAGGATAATGTTCCAGAGCAGCCTCCCTGCAATCCCATCACAACCACACTGCTTCTTTCCCTTAGGTGTCAGGGGCTCAAGCTACCTACAGCATCTGTCCAAAAGAATAAAGGTCATAAGGCTCGTTTTATAGAACTCTAATTTCAAAACAGGAAAGTAATTTTGTTTCTGCACCAGTGCTGCCCTCCATGCTAACATCCCGATTTCTGAGCCTATTCAGTCTAGTGGTCCAGCTAAAAGGCAGAGTTGTTTTGGTTACATTTTTAACCAATGGCTCCCTGGTGTGCTTCTTTTTGAACTTGACTTTCAAGGAGTCTTGTGTCTAAGCTTCTCCCCGCCCTCAATCACTAGTGAGAAAACACAAAGCTCCCTCTGTTCAGCTGCAATTCAAGCAGCATAGAATGACCCAAGTTTTAGTGGAGATATTTTCAGAACCATTTTTGCACTCACTAAGAGAATTTTATCCACTTTACTCAGAACAGCATTCAGACTCCTATATATGATCATAAGAAACTCTATTTTATTTCCTGATACTAGTGTCAGTGATACTACCAATATCAGTTTAACTGACAGCTTTGAATAAATGAAGGACAGCCTGCAGGATTTAGGCATTTAATGGTGAAGCAACACCATGGGCAGATGTTACAATGAAAAAGTGTCTGACAGCAAAAACCAGAAGAAATCCTACTGCCAACATCCAATGTTCTATCCCAAAACAGGATGCTTTGCTGTTAGCAGTTATAACTGAAGTTTTCCCTTCCTACAACTAGACTTTGGCTTCGAGAGCTATCCAGTTCTACAAACCACAGCAGTAATCCAAGGAATGCATCTGAGAGACAGACCAGCCAAGCCAGTCTGCGGAGAAGGTAAAGGTACCTTCCAGGAAGAAGTGAAAGATACAGGGGAATCTCCTGGTAACTACTGGAAATTCAGTTGCGCCACGTGGAGAGATTCAGGGGACCAAAGGAAAAAGCTCACGTCCTCTATAACAAGAAAACTTTGTGAACTTTAAACAATTCTTTGGCTTGCAAAACTGAAGCTGAGGCATAGAGAACAAAAGTCACTGTGAGAAACAGGAAAGGGGGTGGATACAGTCATATGTGAACTAAAGCAAGGTGCCAAAATTACTGAGTAAAACGAGTGCTCATCAGAAACAGACCCCGACTAAACAGAATTAGTACTGGGCTGCAAGTGTGTGTCATCAAAACCACAAGAGAGAGCCAAGTTCTCATTTATACACCTGCATCTTGAGCAGGATCTGGAAAATGACTTACCTTGGTGATGGATGTAAACACTTTCTCTAGAATTGCATTGGGCTGGGCTCTGTGAGGTCCACTGTCTTGAATGCCCAGGTTTATGGCACATGGCTTGGCAATAAACCTGAAAAAGTCATAAAGAAGAGCCATATTCAAGATACAAGTTTTTTTCCCCTCTCAGTGACTGAATCATGTGCCCTAACTGCTTGCAGACTGCCCAATACTACCCAAATACCACCCAGTCTTCTTCAGGCTGGTAATTTATACTCCTTCGCTGCAGGATTTCCTTCTGCCAATGTCAAAAAAGAGTCATGATAAGAGATAAGACTCTGGGAAGAGGGTTACAAAACAGTCTCTTTGGTGAATACAGATTGTTGCATTTTAATCTGCATTATCAGGACATTTTAAGTGCTTGGGGAAAGTAACAGTAGGCGCCTTGGAGACTAATGTCCACTTCACGTTACCAGAACTGGTAAAGAAGCTGCAGGGTAGGCTTCCTTGGGAACTTACTGTAGCTGCAATCTGGTAAGAATGCTTCTAGAAGTGGTGAAAACTGCCACCTTATTGAAACACTCCTGAATAGCTAAAAAACTAACAAATGATGAGAGAGAGAAAGAGAGTGAGGATATAACACAGAGGACAAACGTGTGTCCTGTTGAGCCCAACTCAAATGACATGCCAGTTTCCCAGCTATTAAAAAGGGATGGTACATTTAGCTCAAACATCCAGGGAAGCTGTGAGATTTAATGTATGAAAGGTTTGAAGAAGGTTTGGAGACCACAGAATAAAGGTATGCATCAGCAGTATTTTTAGCCACATCTGATAACCTGCAACTCCCCAAATCAGCAGCAAATCCTTTAAACAGGAATGTAAGACATACAGAGTTGCTAGCAAATCAAGAGCGCAAGACTACAAGAGATAATGAAAAAGGGACAAAATTCCACACGCTTTATCTTAAAAACCGGACTGGATCCCTCCCACCACTGAGCACTCTGCTCCTGCCATTCTGTGGCACTCTGAAAAGCACCTTCTGGATGATGGTGGGGATTCAGACCCCCTGCTTTTTCAGATGAAGATGCTAAAATCAAATTCTTGAAGAGACACATAGTGCTTGCCAGCCATAGGTCCCAGATCACTTCACAGGTGCGACACCAATGTAGCCCTGCAATGCCACTCGTGATGGGCAAGTATTGCCTCCATACAGTAAATACCCAGTTCATAGCTAGGACATTAAATGCCTCCCTCCATCAAGAACCTTTCTAGTTTAGAAGTTGCTTTGCTTCAAAGAGAAAATAACATGGTGGAAAAGAGTCTTAATTCCAGAGAAAAAAGCTCTGCCTGAACGGGGAGGGGTGCCATATTAATATTGGGTTGGTCAGGCCAATCAGGAAATGCAGACTAATTAAAATATATTTTATCATCTTGCAATAAAAGTAAATTATAATTGCCACTACAAGAAAACAGTTCACTGTATGTACAACATAAAGACGGCCTCTTCACTACTTAAATGGCAACTATTCTACCTGCCGTCTTCAAGACCACATCCACATGACTTTTCTTACAAAGATTTCCTCCTGTCTTGAGAACTGTGCATCACAATTAATAACAATTAGGAGGCACTAAAGGTCATCATCTAATTTCCTTTGTCAAATGCCCACCCTATGGTTTGGTTTCCCCCAAAGTGCCAAAGCAACCACATCTTTTGCATGACAAACCAGTTTGACAGTTGTGCCCAAGGAAGTAAACGGAGTCAAAAGGGAGGACGAGAACTTGGAGTGAACTGCTCTAATCCTTTCCTTTCTACTGAAGATAAAAAGTACCCTCTCTAGAGAGCCCTTCTTTACAAATCCAACTTCCTACGTGGCAACATTAGTTGTCTACTGAGTCCCTACTGCAGTTCTGAAGAAGGAAACTTTCCCAACATAGTAAGACTTATGATATGTGCACCTTTGAGCAGTCTGGATTTAATTAACAAGTTACTTGAGATAAGAGGCTCAACCCCTATAGCAGTGTAGCTCATTTCAAAATCTCAGTGTATGAGATGTATAAAACTGAAAGGAAGAGACTTCTGTCAATGATTTACAAACTCTGATTTTCAACTCTGTTTCTTGAATGGAATAAATTCTAGAGGACTGATTAGTCAGATAGAAACATGTTGCAGATCTCCCCACCCTCGCCCCTCAGCACTGGCTAGCAGAGATGCATTCCAGAGTCATAAAATGATCCACGTGTTTTCCCAGCTTCAACATCATGCAGATTCACTGAGGTCTGTAAATCACTCTTTGCATCAACATGACATCAATTCAAAGAAAGTGGAGCTGCAACAAAATTTAGGGGGAAAAAATACTTCCTCCTAAGACTGAGTATCTAAAGGGGGAGGGGAGGGGAAGGAAGAACAGAAGAAGCACAAAGGGAGAGGAGCTAAAACAGAAAAGCTGCAGAAATATATAATTTATGCTCTGTATCATCAGTCCTGCTGCCAATTGTATGTCAAGGAACCATCTGACTTAATTACCCCCAAGGCCTGGATGTGGGTATAAGCACAATGGGATTTTATTAGAAAATCTGAATTGATGACATGTTCAAAAGGTGGGAGAAGAAAAGGATCTCAGAAAAATGGGCTTTGACAGTAAAAATTCTAGGACCTGAATTGACAGTATAATGCCCTGGACACTTCACCGGTGAAAACCCACTCTCCAGAGATATGGTTAAAAAAAAAGAAAAGGAGCCACCCCCAAGGCACCATGACAGAGTCAGGAGGTTTCACTCTGAAAGGGAAAAAAAGAAAGAGGAAAAAAACCCTGTTAAGATCTCATTTTTCTGTGTTTATATTGTAAAGGAGTTTCATGCATCAAATGCCAAGCAGGTCAAATGGGGAATCTAGACAAGCTCAATCTTAGGTTCACGGACAGAATTCAGGAGAGAAGGGGATGCTGCATATAGAGATGAGCAAAAGCACCCAATTCTGAATGCACCCCTGTCAGCTCAGTATTAGCACAACCGATCTCGCTGGCTACACCCTTCTGCACAACCGTACATAAACCTGAGTAGGGCGAGAGGAAAAGCAGTCCAGACATATGGCACTGATTAAGTGTTACTCTGGGGGCTACTTTTCTTGACTTGCAGAACTTGTATCTTGCCCTTGCCATCAGCTGGTCCCTAAGGTTTTAAAGGAAAGCGAGTATTGCCTGCACTTTTGCTAAAATAAATACACCTGGGCCAGTTCATAGGTGTCCACGGGGAAGGGAGAAGGGATTCTGTCCTGGCAGCCCCTACAATATTATGGAATCATAGAAAACGGGGGTTGGAGGGGACCTCAGGAGGTCACATTTAGTCCAACCCCCTGCTCAAAGCAGAACCAGCCCCAATTACATCATCCCAGCCAGGGATTTGTCGAGCCGGGCCATAAAAAACTCCACGGATGGAGACTCCACCACCTCTTAGGTAACCCGTTCTAGTGCTTCCCCACCCGGCTAGTGAGAGTTTTTTTTAATATCCAGCCTAAAATTCCCTTGCTGCAGCTTGAGACCAGGAAGCGGTCTAACACTCTAACAGGAAACATTCCAAGACATGATTTCCTTTCATTTACTGGTAAGCGTGGACATGTGGCCAAGTCCAGCGCTGGCAATCTAGGTTAAGATGGGATTTGGCACTCCTGTTATAAATGTGTCCTTGGATCTTTTACATTGGTTTCAATGATGCTTCAGAGCCTTACATGCCAGGGCAGAGCAATTCTGGGTTCTCGCTTTCTCTCTTTTTAACAAGGACAGAAGGTAGACCGGGGTGAAAGAGGACGCAGCTCTCCTGACCCATTTCTTCTTCCTTCTTTCCATCCCCCCCAACCCACTTCTGTAGGCCCCAATGGCTTTTCTGCCTCTCTCCATTCCACCTACCACTTGGTCTATGCAAGCCTACCAGGCACTGCACTTCTCACAGCAAAGGAAAGTGAAAACGGATTAGATTCCAAGGCAGTCTTTTTGCAGCCCTTCCCATGATGACGAAAGCGCTGCCCTTTCCACAGAGGAGAAACTAAGATTGATCAGTCTTCCTCAAACCATTTACATAAGAAACCAGTAGCTTTGTTAGCATCTCTACAGTCTTCCTCCATAGAAGCACCTATGTGTTCTCCTGCTGTGCCCCACATCTCATTTTTTACTGATATGCAATATCGTGTTGTACTTTCATGCTAACATATTAAAGAGGTACAGCACACGAAGAAAACGTCAAGATAAATGACAACTTCACGTTTAACAGAGTTAAGGAGAGTGAAGGATCAACACAGACACCAGGAAGAACGTGGGTCGCCAGACCCTGGACGGGGCTCCCGAGGGAGGCAGTGCTCTCCCCTACCCCAGGGGTCTTTAAGAGGACACCGGACAAGCACCTGACCCCAGCATGTTTTCCTGCCTGGGGTTGGACTCGACGATCTCCCTTCCAACCCCAATATCTACAAATCTATGACAGCGGGAATTTTCGACCCAAAGAAAAAGCCGGCCATCTAGAGACATGCAGCAGGGTCAGGCTCCCCCGCCGCTTGCCAGACTCCAGCTCGGAGTTCAACCTCAATGAATCGCTTCGGGGCGCCACTCCAAAACCTCAACCTGAAGACGACCCCCAAGCTTTCAAGGTTTACCCCGAGCGTGTCTTTTCTAGCCGCACGGCGGACTTGTGCGCCTCCCCGCCACCACTGAGGGGCTGCGAAATCTGCTGCAACGCGAATAAGCGACCGCTCCATCCGTTCCACGACAACGGCGCCAGCATGCGAGAAGCTGGATGAACCGGTCGGGGGCGCGAGGGCCTGGGGGTCCTTACTTGCTTGGGATTAAAACCCACGAGCGACTTCACGGATCTGGCTTCACAGGCAATTTCAGGAGCCCTGGATGGGCCAAACCCCCCCCACTCCCTGCAAACCTCCACGCAGGGGTGGGTTTCTCCCAGGAGAACCCACGGTTTTCTCTCGCGTTTGCTAGTCTCGGGGGTCCCCTCAGCGAGTGCGGCCTGGGCGTGTCCCGCCCCCCGCGGAGCCCACAGGAGCCCGGCCCGGCCCTGCTCGCGCACCTCTCGAAGACCAGCCGCACGGCGAAGATGCCGAGCGCCAGCGGGAAGGCGCAGGCGACGAGGCCGGCGCGCGGGGAGCGGCTCGCCACGTCCGCCCATGTCACGTTGTGCGGCAGCCAGAACCGCTCGTCCCAGAACCAGGCCGAGAGCAGCGCCGCGGCCGCCGCCATCTTCCGCCCGCCCCGCCCCGGTGAGGGCCACGGGGCGGGGCTAGCGCGGGCCACGCCCGGAAGAGCACTGGCCGCTCCGCCCTCCTCTCGCCGGCCCGCCGCGGCCGCTCTGTGCTGCGCTCTATGGTCAGCCCTCCGGCGGCTTATGCGCATGCGCGGGGGGAGCGTGGTACAGCACGTGCGACGGGCTTGAACGCTTCCGGCCTCCGGCCCAGCACTACGGACTTGCGAGGGGTCACGTGAGCCCAGCGTTCATTCCTGTCCAGGGCAGGGCGTCGGGCCTGATGATCTGCTCCGGTCCCCTCCAACCCTGCATCTATGAAGGACCTTCTCCGCTGGCGACACCAAGTTAGTGGGGAGCACGGTCACGGTTGGAGATGCAGGCAGACGGGAACTGGCGAAGTTCACCGTCAAGGAACATACAACGCTCCACCTGAGGACGAGCAGCCCCCAGCGCCTCTCCAGGCCTTGCAGTGTCAAGCTGTAGCATTGGCAACGCGTAAGGGGTGCACGTGGACCCCGTGAGAGCAGCTGCGCAGCCCCTGGGCGTGCCAGCCGCAAGACCAGAAGTGCTCTTCTGGTTTCGCTCCTGGGGGACCCCCCCCATTGGCAATCTGGTGCCCCTGCAGACTCGGGAGGCACCAGGTGCCCATGCTGACCAGCACCACGGCTGAAAGGGACCAGTATGAACACAAGCTGGCAGCGCGACGCTATAGCCAGCAGGGCAAATAATATTGTGGCGTGCATCACTCGATGCATCTCCAGTAACACCAAGGAGGCGATTCTTCTGCTCTACTCAGCACTGGCGAGACCGCAGCTGGAGGGCTGTGTCCAAGTCTGGGAACCGCACTTGAACAAGGACACAGACAAGCTGGAGAGAGTCCAAAGAAGAGCCACCCATATGATCAGAGTCTTAGCTGGCAAGCTATAGGAGGAAAGGCTGAGGGACCTGGGATTCTCCAGCCTGAAGAAAAGGCTGAGAGAGGACCTGGTAGCAGCTTACCGTCACACTAGGGGAATACAGCAAGCGCTTGGTGAGCAGCTGTTCACCAGAACACCCAAGGGGAAAACCAGGAGTAAGGGCCACAAACTCCTGGAAGACTGATTCAGGCTCAACATTAGGGAAAACTTCAGTCAGGGTGTCTGTAGAATAAGCTCCCTCCAGAGGTGGTGCAATCGCCTACCGGGGAAATCTTCAAGAAGAGACTGGACAGTCACCGCACTCTCTTTCCTGCTGGGTGCAGGAGGCTGGATCCGATGATCTTCCGAGGTCCCTTCCAGCCCCTACAATCTATGAACTACTCAACATCAAAAAATAAATGTGTGCCCTTCTACCCCGGTACAGCCAGGCCTGTCCAATTCCCTGTATTAGAAGGATGAAAGTTGTCTTGCCATCAGAATGGATCAACAGTGTCACCTAGTGGTGACACACCCACATTAAGCAAAAGAGAACAGCTCATCTTTGTGGCCTAAAATGCACCTTGGTGTAATTGGAAAAAAAAAAAAAAGGTTTCCAAGCACAGTTAAACATAAATGAAAAAGCTTTATTGAATAAAAATGGTTTCATACTTAGAAGGTTTGGTAAGAAAGCAGAATATTTTACACCTCTAAAATATAATTAGAGCTAATTTTCAAATTAATACAGTACAAAGAAAAGTTACTATAGAAATAACCCTCCCAGTTTGAATACCATTGTTTGTAGCATAAAATGCAGTCGTTTAAAATGTACTAAAAACTTCAATGCTAGAAACAAGTCCTATGGAAAAAAGAAAAATCTCACTGTTCTAGTTTTAGGATCCCACAGATTTTGTATGCAGCATAAATCTCACAGATGTAACCATTAAAAAAAAAAAAAAAATCTCTCTGGCAGTTCAGTATCAGGAGAATGCAATTATTGAAAGGCCTTACAAACAGTATTTGCAACTTTAAGTAACTCAGAGTGGTAAAGAAAGTCTAAGAAATAAAACATTTCACCTCTGAAACATATGGAATGCAAGAGTAATGGCCTGCAAGTTGCTGCGACAGAGATGGGTTGTCCTCGTGAGCCCCAGTTGTCAGCACTGCTTCAGACACTGGCTGTAATACTTCTATCCCAGAAGTGGGTGTGCTGGTGCATTTGCTAGCCAGAGGGCTCTGGTACACCTTCATTCCAGTTTGGAAAATAAATGAGGCTTGCAGAGAAAAACAGAGTGCAAAACAGGAATTTTTGCATGGATCAAGAGCAAGCGAGTTAGACAATAGAAAGAATCATCCTGTTGTATTCTGTGCACTTCTGTATGAGACTTAAGTTGCTAGATATTAAGCACAAAACAATTAGTGTTTTCATTATAAAAATATCCCAGCTGTGCCCTTTACATGAATTAAAGTGCATTCAGTCACCATTTTAAAAGCAGGCCTGAAAGTTCCTTTGAAATTGGTCCCCAAGTATTGCAATAGCATTCACAGTGGCAAGAGTAGTGTATTAAAAGAGAAGTTTGGTTTTTAAATGCCACCACTGGGAGTACAGTGAAGTCCTGCAAATCATCATTGGTGGAATAAAGTACCCAAGCACAGAAGATGACAATGAGGATAATCAGGGTACAGAGTGGATCTTTGTTCCCGTGCTGAGAATTGGGAAAACTATCCCACAACAAGGGATTATGTACGTTTTAATTTAGATACATATGGCTTTTGCAGGTTTCCACTGTACTCCAAGACCTCCGCATGTTCTGTGGTTCCCTTATGGATCAATGTGCAGAGAGGATCACTTTCACAGAGGGCAGCTGCTTGTTAAAGCTAAAACACCAATTTAAGGCCAAACACCTTGCAGCAACTTTGCCAGTGAAAGGCCAATTTATTCATCTTCATCTTCGTCCTCATAGTATCGATTCCTTTTGATCTGTTCCTCCACGGATAGTTCTTCCGCCTCTTCCTCTTCCCAGAACCCGACATCCTGAGATTTGCGATTCTGACCAGGAGATAATTCCTTAGAAGTCACCACATTCACCAAGCTGGAGCGTTCAGGAGAACTTGGGGCAAGCAGTTCATTGTTTGGAGCTGGTTGCACTTCAGCAGCATTTTCTTCCTCTTCATCTGTCACTGTGTTCACCTGGCTGTTCTCCAAGTTTTCTTCCCCTTCTGCCTTAATGCCAGGAGCTTGCCTTTCCCTCTCTGCCTCCAGGTCCTTATTCTTCTCTTCAGCATTATGGACAGTTTGCTTTTTTTCTACCTCTACCTCCTTCTCTAGTTCCTGGCTTTTTTTGAACATGCCCCTGTCTGCCTTGGAAGAAGACGCATGCTCCATTTTGGTTCCCTTAACAGACATCGTTCTAAATGAGGCAGCTACCGTAAAGGGTCGGCTTCTTTCCTTCAGGGAGGAAGTTCTCCGTAACTTTTTGAGATCCAAGTCCTCAGCCTCCTGAACATCGGGCTTGGAGACCTCCTCTTCTGGAGGCCACTTTGGCTTGAACACCTTGATCCCTTCTTCTACAGCACTTCCTTGACTCCCTAGTTCAGATGGTGGTGGCCAGGCAATCCTTAGTTTCTTTGTTTCTGCAGGTTTCTCTTCTCTTTCAGGCAAAACTGCAGCTCTTGCTTCCATGTTTGCTGCCAGAATTCCCACCTTTGCAATGGGGGCATCTTCTACGCCTGGACTTTTAGGGACGTCTGTCGTACAGGTGGTCTGGGCAGATTTCTCCATGGATTCTTCTTCATTTTCCATTTTGCTCATCCATAGCTCTTTGTGCTGTTTGTGCCCAAACCCCTCATCGTAGTTGCCTTTGGCTTTGAAAAGCTGATTGAAGTGAGGCTTGCAGTAAATGCTCCCGTGGAGAGATGCATAAGTTCCAAGACTATTCAAGAAAAAGTGGAGTAAACATTAGCATTCTTGCACACCGAGTCAAAGAAGAAAAAAAAAAGTCCAAGCTTCTCAGGTCACTAAGAAAGGCCTGGCATTAAAATGTCTTTGGTGTTCGGGAAAAAGTCTTACAGTGGCTTCACCTGATGTCACCAGATGGAGTGCAGGCTGATAAAACGGGACCCATGTCTCCCTCCCACACCCCTCAGGGCTTAGAACTGCAAAGTGCTTTAGGAAGGCGGGACACTATCCCCACTTTAGGGGTTGACATGACTGGTGCTAGATCCTGACTCCCAGCCTCTGCTAGATCCACCGGATTACCACCGTCTCTGCCTCAGCCTCCTGTTTGCACAGGACTTTACATTCTGCTTGTTAACATTTCAGGACAGCTGAACTGCCTCCTAGAGAGAGCAGGTTCAAAGCAAGGCAGGTTACCTGAGTTTACTGTTGCAGTATGAACAGCGGAAGCAGCTGATATGAAACACCTGCTGGTTGGCAAAGAGGCGCTCCATTGGGTACACCGTCTTCTGACACCCAACGCAAGTCTCCTTCACTGGCAACTGAAACTTCTAAGGGAAGAAAAGAGTGCTTGTTAATTGGAAACAAACTGCCTGGTTGAAGGCTGGGCAAAACACCAGAAACACCTTTGTACCCCTGAGCATGCCATTATCAGCAGCTCTGATGGTTAGTCCCCACCTGAGACTCAGTGGGTTGAGCCAGTCCTAAAAGACTCTACACCAGGGGATGGGCACAATGCGGCCTGCCAGGCCATCCCACCTGGCTCATGGGGCCCCTAAAAATTTTAGAAAACTAATATTTATCTGCCCCTGGCTGACAGTCATGCGGCCCTCAATGGCTTGCCAAAACTCAGTAAGTGGCCCTCCGCCCAAAATAACTGCACGCCCCTGCTCTACACGGTATTCTCACATAATTAATGTACCTCTAGGGAAAGAGATGGTGGTAGATAAATAGTGGTGGGACAAGGAAGCAACTTTCGATCCTCTGGTGTATGTGCAAGGCGTCTCTAGCCAGGTGCCTGATGACTCCACTTATACAGAGTCCTGTGCCCATCATACAAAGACCTTTGACACGTACGCCTAGGCAAGAGCATGGAGGAGCGGTGGCTGCCCCATGGTACCACCCCCCTTTAGACCATTGAGACAGAATCCAAGTCCAGATGTTCAGTGCCTCGATGGTTGTAATTTCTGCCAGAGAGCAACTGCTGCTGACTGCTTACTGCCTTGCAAGAAGGGTGCCTTTGTCAGGGTCTCTTAGCCTTTCTCCAACCAAGGAGTACCCACAAGGGAGCAGGGGCTAAGGTTTCGAGGCGCCTTATACTCGCCTTACTCGGGAGGTTGCAACACTGGTATTTTATAGGAGCTACCCGGCTACATGAGTAGCACCATCACATTGCCACCAGGCCTCTAGTCAGATGCAATTTCCAGTCACACGCCACAAACAGCTCAGTACAGAAAAGGAAGAGTGATGAATGGGCCAAGCAAGCAAGAGGGCACAAGTGGGAGGGGAACAGTCTGCTCAAAGGTTTAGGGCAAGCAAGGTTTATTAGATGCTCTTGGCATTATGAACAGGGAAGGCTCACTTAAGCAGGAAAACATCTCAACAGAAAGGTTTCGATGCTGCAACGATGAGGTAAGCTATCCTCCACTGCTGACATGCCATCCTCATAAAATTAAAAGTACTTGGCGACTATCGCTAGCATTAACGGAGGTCTGATGTTACACAAGTACCGTCGTATGCATTTCCTGAGTAAATGAACAGCATCTTCTAACTAGGGAGGAGCACATGGGTAAAGTCAAGGCTAGGGCCTGCATGGGAACGACCTCAGCATTTCTGCTTCCTGAAGGCATCATAAGGTAGTACTCTGTCCATTAAAAAGGTCACTTGATGCTGCTCATTAAACACAGAGGTGGTATGTAATGTTGGAGGAACAACAGATTACACATTCTGTCAAAGCTTGACCTTCCTGGACCACTTTCCGATTGCAACCATTCTTCCAGCTACAGAGTACAGAAATAATCTAGGGGTGCATCGGAGCGCGCCACTTACTTATTGTTCCCGTCCTTCGGCAAGGGAACAATATGTTGGAAGTTTAATACAAAGGATTTAAGGGAACCTTATGATGGTTAAGGGATGTGGCAAGGGGGAAGTGGAAGGTCACAAGACGAAGGATTAGTGATTGTTTCTAGTCTCTCACAAATAAAGTGACACCAGGGCACGGCATTGATTATGATAGGTGAAGGCCAAACTATTGAAGACAGAGCCAGTCACTTTAAATTTGGTCGGTCAACCTTAATGTTGCATGTAATTAGGTATTTTTCTATGTATTAATATCTAGTCTCACACACACACACACACTTCTCATCAACCTTAAGTCAGCGTCATTTCAGACAATGTCTCAAGGGCCTAATCCACATTGATATTACACTGACCAGCCCACCTCTCTGAGCTCAAGAGATACATTTTTTTAAAAGGGAACTTATAGGCACACACCCTGCACATATTTTCAATTCTGAGAGAGTGAAAACTCATGAACAGAAATTTAGGAGGCCAAAGATCTACTCACACATCCTTTGCCGCAAGGGGGAGGAACAAAACGCCAAGCAACTTGCCTGCCAGTCCAAAATGCACCGCCCCCCCCAGCCCAACGGCAGAACTTTGCAAGTTTGCATTACAAGCCACTGCAATGCATATCCCAATCTAAGAAAAGGCACTTACACATATACGTAATGGGCCCTGTGCCTGCTGGCAAGGTGTTTTGGGGTGTGTAGAGAAAGGATTTCCTTTCCGGGCGCACTAAGAATAGGAGCTACAGGAGGAGGATGAAGACCACTTAATATAAAGGAGAACTGGAGAGAAAGCTGAGAGTTGAGCTCACATTAGAAGGGAAGCAGAAGGCAGGAGTAGAGATTAGGAACCAAGAGCAGGAAACAGAAGCTGGAAAAGACAAATAGGAACCTTAGATGAATAAACAGCATGTGGGCTACTCTCCAAGTACTGCAGCTACTACAGTACCGATGGAGGTGACAGCCACTTCGTTTTCCAAATGGTTAAGCATACAGGTTGCAGATTCTCTCACTTTTCACAAAGAATAAAAGCTGGAAAAAAAAACTTGTGAACCTCCCACAGTCCAGAATGGCCTCAAAGAAGCATCCAAGTCATAACATCTTTTAGGAGACACTCATAGTACTCTGTGCATGGTAAGGACCCAAGTCTCATTACTCTCGAGACTGGCTGACTCTTGAGAGTAGCCGGACAGAGTTTAAGAGAGGCCAGGTTTGAGACCAAAGCAGTGCACTGTGGAATGCCTGGGGGACCAACTGGTCGCCAACCCTGTAAGAATATCACAGGACAGCTGTTCAGATGTCTGTTGCAATAGCACAGGAGGGAGCATTAGTAGCTCTTATCCTGGGAACCCTTTAGGGTATCTGTCTCATGACAAGCGGCGAGGACATCTGAACACTCGTGCTTTGGTCTTGCCGGAAAACATTTTCTCCAGCAACAGGGGCAATCTGTTTGTAGCCTCGGTGAAGGCTCTTATGCTGCATCATTAGCACGATGCAGTTTTAACAGCATAGCACCAGTCAGCATGCAGCTCAAACGCCACAGATCACCAGATCCTCTGATCTATCAAAAGCCTGTGCTGAGCCCAACATGAAATTCCTGCATATCCTACTGCTGTCAAGAGCTAGTTTCTGCAAAACGCTTTGTTGAAATAAAGGTTGAATGTACACTAAAGTTACAGGGGTTAAGAGCTCTTGAGGGATAGTTTAGATACTGAGAAATTAGCACAAAGTCCCCCAGGAGCACGCAGATGCACAGGCTGGTTTAGGTCATTTCTATGTTATAATCAGCTTTACTTCCATTAATTGTTGCTCATATTTAGGAGACAAATTAGCTGCCATACCTTCACAGCTTTTGGTGGAGAGGCATCCGTTTGGCTGAGTGGTTTCATATCGGAGGCTGGCTGTTTTGCGCAGACAGGTCTCTGGGTTTCCATCCCCATCTGTGAATTGAGTTCAACTGGGGGAGGGAACGGGAACAGTTATTTCCATTCATGTAAACAGGAGAAGAATTCTAGAAGAATTAGCTCCAAAGCCAAAATCTTTACATGCTCAATTTACTCTGACCTTTTTAGCACCAAAGTTATCAAATGAATGAACTGCTGGTGGGGGAGGTGGAAGCGGGCCAACCTCTTACCAAGTCTGCATGCAACTCCTGGAGACTATGGCACCATTTCAAAATGCTTCTGAACATGCTTAACTCAACCACAGGAACTCAGTGGGCTATACCGTAACCAACCACGAGCCGACATGCTTTACTAATAGGAATTTTCTTACCACTGGAGGCAGACAAGGTTCTTTGGGTGCATCTGATATCTTTTATTAAACCAACTTAAATTGGTGGGGGAGAAAAAAAATTTCCATCCAAGAAGAGCACACACCAACTGCAGATGCTTCCTCAGCCTGACGAAGGGTTTTTAAACCCAAAAGCTTGCTAAGAAATATTTTTCCAACCATCTGAGTTGGTCTAATAAAAAGGTATCACACTGACCCAAAGAACCATGTCTGCCTATGTCCTTAGACCAACACGGCTACAACTTCCACCCTACCACTGGAGGACACTTGAAATACAGCAGCACAGGGCAGCTGACTTCGGTATACACCTTGGATTATTGACTCATCTGTAGGCTACTGTGCTATAAACTCAAATGGCAGGGGGAACTGCATGGTTATAGTTACGTTCCTACAAAATTTAGAGCTCGCATTATCTTAACACTGCAGCTCCAAATCAGGTAACTAACCCGATTAAAACAAATTCAGCACAGGACTTGAGCTGGAGAGAACAACTTTAGCACAGAAGAGATTTTGATTGGACAAAATATATATACATCCTCAAAATTTGATTCAAAGGGATTGCAAAGGATGAAAGGATTAGGAAGAGATTTTTTTTTTGTTAAACAACTCGTTTTTAAGGATTACTACACTTAAAACAAGCAATTTTATTCATTCTTTTTATTAACGATGTAATAATTCATAAGGAACAAAAATGTCAGAATCAGTCAAATTTATAATCAAGTTTTAAGTCACTGGAAGTCAGGAGTCCGAGATAAAAACTGATATGCAGTGACATTTACTTTAGCCAAAATTGCCGACTTAAGTACGCTACAAATTAAAAGAATACCCATAGATAACACGAGTAGACTTTCTTGCACACGGCAGGATCCAAGTTCTTGTACTGACAGATCGCTTCTGAAAGGGCAAGTTAAATTAAATGCAGGTCTCAACTGGCATACACCCCCGTGATTCAATAGCTGTCCATTGCCAATTCCAAAAGCTCGGGCTGCTGGCAGCAAAATGGGTTTCACTTAAGTACGGCGTGCAAACGTGTGCATTTCTGACACCCTCGGCTATTCGCTTGCCACATCTTACTGAGTCAGGGGAACGGGTACTTACTGGTTCCATCTTCAGAAAGGTGAGTGTGGAAATTCAGACTGTTCTCCCCTAAAGGAACCTGAGAGAAAAACATGTTTGAGCCCATATGAAAGAGTTGCTCAGCTGGTTAAGTCCAGCTCACTCGAACGTACTCCTGGATCATCCTGGCTTGAGCAACAAAACAACGGGCAATTTAACAAAATAGGGCATTCCTTCAGACAACAGCCATAACCTAAGTGATAAAATCAGTCTTGAAGGCACAAGGCAGGGTATGATCACTTGCCAAGAACAGGTGGCCTCTGCCACATAAAGCAGACTCCCAAGTTGTTCACTGCTTAAATACTCATTAAATGCACATTCAGACTCTTTTGTTTAATGCTCATGCTAGGAGCATGGGCTGGAGATGGAGCTTTACAGCTTGTACACCTGGATGCAGTAGATTTAGGAAAGAACTAGCCACTTTGCTGATGTTCCCTACAGGTTCTTTCACTACTAAATCTGAGATTTGCTCGATTTGTGAGGCCTTGCTTCAGAAGCAACCTGATTCACATCACCTACTGGCATGTCAGTGGGTTATGCACATCCAGAAGAACCCAATTTCTCTAAAAACGGAGGCATTTTAAAAGAAGATTCCCCCAAACTACAAAACCATACGCTCCCAGTTTAAAACTCAGATCGGAGTCTCTCTTTATATTCCTTCTGCACAATATAATTTGAAAGTTATATTTTAAACCCTTAAGGCAAAAGCTACTTGGGACAGCTTCTCAGGTATTTCTGCTTGGCTCTTTCTGTATATTAAATGTATAGGGCTAGAAGTAGAACTGAAATACTTTAACAAGATTAACAGCAGAGCCTCACTAATGCATGCTAATGACTCCAAGACCCATTGCAAAGGACCGAAGCTGCTCATTAAATGGCGTCCGCATGCCAGAATACTGCATTCAGTTGAAAACTTTAGTTTGTCCTAATTCGAAGCATATGAGGAAGTGAGAAGACCACAGTATGCTTTCCACTAGTAAAAGATCACTAATCCTTGGCTACTGAATCTGGTTGAAGCGTGCTGTTCTCCTCACCTGGCACTTTGTACTTGCGAATGACAAGCGTTATCAGTAGGCCTGTGCGAAGCGGCTAGTATTCGCATCGGCTTCAGATTTGGCTGATCTGAGGGACAGCAATTCAAATCACTGTCCCAAATTGATTCAGCTGAATCCGATTCGGAGATTCGGCTGCCTGCTTACTGGCGTGAAGCCCAGGTCCCTGCAGCGGCAAGCGGGGACTGCCCAAATCGATTCGGAGGCTTCAAATCAATTTGGACCTTTTTATTGGTCTCCCAATTTGATTTGGATTTGGAGATTCGGCCGCCGATTCGGGCCGAATCTCCTCCGAATCGAATCGGCACCCAAAGCTTTGCTCAAGCCCTAGTTATCAGCAAGGTCCCATGGCTTCCTTTTCGGCAGAGATTTCTGCCATTTATTGAGAGCCTTAAGACACAGCTAACATCCAGTTTATCCTGCGGTGATGCCAAAGTGACAATCCTAAATCCCACACCAGTCTGTTCAGATCCTGTTGTGCTCATTCAAGCTGGACTTCAGACAACAGCGAAGCGCTACAGGAACACCTATGTTAAAGGAACTATGGCCGCTCCTAGAGCAAGAGGGTGTATTCAAGACCTTCCACTTAATAGCAGGAAGCAGGACGGGAAAGGAGAGAGACTGCTTTAATAGGTGTCTTGTTAGCAACCTCACCTCGTGGAGGAAGCAGCCTCTGCACAGGCTAAAAGGCAAAGGCTGCCTAGCTGCCAGTAAGGAGCAGCTGAAAGCAACCCTTTGGCTGCCCGCCAAAGATAGACTGGGAAGCTTTTAAAAGCACTCCCGGCATTAGTCTGCCACGTGTTCAGAGAGCCTGCGATACACAGTACCCCAATTATTAGCTAGTTTGGTCCCCTTCTGTCACTCCCTAATTTAAGGCAAGTGAGACTTTGCTGTGGTAAGTCTCATTGTTCACTTTAATTAAAATTTGTCTCCTTTCAAAAGGAAAAGGTTTAAAATGCAGCGGGGGGGAGGGGGAAGGAAACAAAAGTGGCAGCTAATCAGGATACCAGTTACATTTACCATGATCTGGCCACTCCGCGCATAGCATGGCCGGCAACCTCCTTCTGGGCTGTCACCTACAGCTCTGTGCTTGTGCAGCACTTTAAAATCTGGACAGTCTCTACAGAAAAGGTTAAAAATTCACAGGTAGGGCTGGTTTACCCCAACCAGGCTGGGAATAAATTTTATGTTTTGAGTTACATTTCTCCAGAGCATAAGCAACTTGTATCAGCTGCCACAAGTCCATTTCCAGACGCGGTACAGAACGGAGCGCTGCCCCACTCGCTCACACTGTAAAGGGTGTCCCTGACCTTCAACCCAGCCGAGTGCATCTTACCTTCTCCCCATCCTGATAGGAAATGGAGTCCACAGAGCTTGGCGGCATATTCTCCTTCTGCTCCGATTTGTCCTGGAGCTCACTTTCACTGACTCGAGGCTCATTCTGCAGAACAACAAAGCACTTCAGTATTGCCAGATTCCTTTCCCACTGGAGAGCTTTCAGCTGTTATTCTTGAAAGAGTCTTCTGGACAGAAATCCCCCACCACACACAAGCGATGGCTAAGGGGAAGGGAAACAGAAGGCTACTCTACATGCATTCAATTAGTGACGTGCCATCCTAAAACTTCTCCCGCCTCTGTGTGAGCTTGAGATACAACTTTATTTCATGCCACAACCTTATCATGGAAACACTTTGCCATTAAGCATCCCTTTCTCTTGATATAAATCTCCCCCTAGATCCAAGTTCTTTTCTTGCTCTCATTCCTGATCTCTCCACTCTTTCCCCTTGGCTGAAACAGTACCCCAGATTTTAGATTATGAGCACTTCAGGACAAAAAAACCCCACATTAAGGTACTACGAAAGTTAGCAATAATTATTCCATGTGCAAATAAGATCTACCCTAGCTTGAATACCTCCCACCAAATTTCAGATGAGTTTTACTGAAAAGTCTTTGGAGAGAGGCGTATCTACATCTCTCCCCAAAGAGTTTTCTGTATATATCTATAGCTATATTGACAGAGAGAGAGAGAGAGAGAGAGAGAGAGCGCGCACTATAATCGAGAGAGAGAGAGAGAGAGAGAATAGATTAATTTTTTTTTTGACACATAAGAATCACAAGGTTTCATGAATGTTCCTGTCCAGTAATCAGATCCCATGGTGAGGCAAGGCTCATGCCTTTCACAGGGCAGCCTCTCTATAGCAAAGGAAAGAAGCTGCTAAATTCCAAAAAAAGGTATACTAGACTTTATATGCAGGGTTTACATAGCTCTTAGTCCCTATTTTTATCATCTCATTAAATACTACTGTTGTAGTATTAAATACTACTGTTGAATATAGATCTCATTAAATACAGCTGTTGAATATACTAGTGCTTTCAACCAGGAATACTTGAGATCGTTCTTCTGGAAGGGTTCTTAAGGAATTACATTCTTGTAGTATTGCAAGAGAAGAAAACACACCACGCGTTTACTAGTCTCTATTAGGTCTTGCCTATACCATGCATAGCACTGGAGACTAGTCTCATTCCAAGAAGGATTAACTCTGTTTTGTAGTGTAGATGGAACCAGGGCTCTCTGTATTATTTGGAAAACTCTGCACCATCACACCAGAAGACCCTTTATGCCCCTTTGGCAGAAACCTGGCAAATCTCCTGCCCAAAACTAGGTGCTTGAAAATTGCTGCAAAATTGACTACAGCTACAGCGGTTTGTACACATGTGCAACTACAGTTGTTGCTAACAGGCAACCAGAATCCTGCTGGGAGTGACTGGCAGGGGAGAGCGCGCAAGGGGGGGGACAACAGTCCCTGGCAGGGATTCAGCCAGCAACAACATGCAAATGGGAATGTCTGCATTGGAGGGCCCAAGCCAGGACAGTGTTTAATCTATACTGGGAGCAAGTCCAGAAGGAATTCATGTGGTACCTGGCTAGTTACTAGAGAATGATGTAGTCAGCCAACTGAAACCATTGCCATTAGAAACTGCAAAAGGCAGTTTAGCTAACTGAATGCACCAAAGAAAAAATCAGGATCTAGAAAACAGCCACGAGCAGTTAAGCAGATTTCATAGACATTAGGGCTGGATTTATTACACTAGCTGCAATTACTTTCAGCTCATGCCATTAAATTTACTTCAATTATGCCCAAAAGCTTAAGATTTAGACCCACTCTGCATATGGTGTGCAGAAATCCCTTCAGTTTGGACAGGGCTGTTCCAATGAGATAAAATACACCCACCCACCCTCTACAGATGCTTCTGGGAAGCATGAACACTTCCAAATCTTAACTCCAAGATATTCAACGCTGGTGGCTCAAGTCATGAGGCATTTCCTTACTTACGATACTGTCATACTCTTGGAATGCATCGGTCTAGCTATAGAGAGCATTCAAAAAAAATGGGGGGGGGGGAAAGAGTCCTAAGAGCCCCAACATTAACACAAAACAACAGACAATTCTGACTAACTCTCCCAACACATGCTTGATTCTTGCCGAGTACCCTGCAGTTTGCTATGATTCACTGGTTGCTATTTCCTGTTTAAATATCTGGCTAGCTAGCACAGGCTAGTTCTTTGCAATAGCTCAGGTAAGAAAAAACAGGTTGAGGTCAGAGTAAATAAGATAAGAGTATTTGAAGAGGACTGTTTGCACAGAAGAAGGCTGGTTATAAAGCACAGGCCTGTGATGGGATCTAGACTCCATTCATTAAAAGCCTGTGGGCAAGTCCCTGCTTCATTTCTGTCTCTCCTTTTCACCTTAATCCAAGGGGCCTGCAAGGTTGAATTAGTGTGCTTAAAGCAAGCGGAGACGTTTGGATGTAGGAAGCCAAGAAATATCCGTTACAGTCCCACGTAGGCTCCTTGGCCAATGTGCCAGCTGTTGAGTCTTTGGAAAGTGTAGACATTATTCCAGGAAGAGGTGAAAACCCATCTCTCACTTCAGGGCTTTTAATTCTGCAGAGCAGACTACAGGCTTTAATTTCAAACAAATCAATGAATGATCTTCTCCTTTCAGACAGCATAAAATTACGTATTCATAGCCTAGTTTTCACAGACATTTCTTAGCCTCAGGGCTATGCCAGTGCGACGCCCACCACCTTACACAAAAAAAGCACAAGGGCAGACATACCGCGAGGCTAGTGGGACTCCCTTGCTTGGACACGGCTGCCTGGTACTTTGCCAGTCTATCCTTTATTGATGTTTCTGTTAGGCGAGGCATCTCCAGCGTTCTTCGGCTCTCCGAGCTGAATGTCGGGGAGCTGCACATTAGGTGCCCTGCAACAAGGCAGATATATGGTTAGAGTGACCTTGATAAGGTGTTAACTGTAAACTCTTCTGCAGAAGAAGTCAAGCATCTTCCTATTCCAGTCTCAAAATGATGCAAAGGTGTGTGATCCCCTGGCTAGCAGTACCAGCCTTTCCCAGGCAACACAGCTGTATATTAGGAGCAGCATCTCAGAACATGCACGTGACGTCTGTGCATTTTAGCAGCCACGCGGAGGAGTTCAGCCAATGCTCCTCACAAGCAACATGTAAATGTGTCAAGTGCCATCCCTTAACCAAGCAGAGAGCAGGAATATACACAGCGGTTTCACAATGGCAGTGAAGTACCTTGGGTGGTGTTTTCCTTTATTAATTCTTGCAGAAGGAGGACGTAAAGGGGAGATCTAGGGAAAGAGAGGGGGAACTTTAACCCTCCAGTCCTAATCCCTAAATACACCATTTAGGCCTCCTCTCAACCAAGATTTTACAGACAGTTTAAACTTGGTCCCAAAGCATCCTGGCAAGTTGGTTAGAGGTATCCCCATTTTATGCAGCAGGAGCATAAAGATACTGGATCGTCTGATCAAGGCCGTAGTGGGAGAACGTAGCCAGACTCGGATCTAACTCACGGGGCTGCGTCTCCCTCCCGTCTCCTCCTGCTCCTTACCTTAACCCACTTCAGTTAAGTCACCTAGCCCTTATTTTAGGCAGGGCATAGATTTAGGAATCCAGCAGCTCTGATCAACACACTACATGTCTTCTTGGTTAAGGGTCAATCCTTTCATGATAGCTTTGATCACGCAACAGAACTAATAATACAGAGATCTTTAATAAACCAGGTCTCAAATGTCTGTCTCGTTTTAATTTACAAGACGCAATATAAAGATGTTCCAATGAATGTCCCTCCAGGTGCACAGTGGTAAGAACTGATGCTTTTCATTGCATCCCGCATTGTTCAGGGAAAAGCATGGTTTGCAATGCTAGGAAGCAAGAGCTCATATTAGCCATAGGCTGGAAACCACACTGGAGTCGTATTTAAAAGCCATCATTCGAACAAAAGCTATTTAAGGACACCTGATCAATTCAGCAGTGCCCATAATTCAAGAGCTCAATAGCAGCTGCAGAGCTTTGGAGGAAAGGTCATGTGGATTTAAAGCAGCAAGAATTTCACCATAGAGGGATACAAGCCAAATAGGGAGAAATAAGTCTACTGCTACTCTAGCGTCTATACGAGTTAAACTACATAATCTAATAATAAACCCAGGGCTAAGAGTCAGGAGATACAATTGTCTTCTTAGTTCTGCCAAAGTTGTTTCCCGCGCCTCGGTTAAAAAAAAGGTTAGCAAGTAAAGGTGCTAAACAACAAGCCTTTAAGTTTGTAAAATCCTTGGACCCCTTGCTGAGAACACTGGATCTCCCTCTCCTGTCTCTGCCAGATAAAGTTATTCCCCTTGTGTGTCACACACCAAACGGAGCAATTTCAGTGCCCGGGTCCAACTGCCTCCAGCGCCTACCAACCTGAAGTGCTACGGCTTCTCTCACCAGAACCGGTATCAAGGTCCTCAGAAGAGAAGCTGTTTTCAGAGATCCTCCTGCCACCCGTAGTCTTGGTCTGGTCCCGAGGAATCTGTTTAAGACAAAACCTACTTAATCAGCTCTCTGAAGCAGCAGAGATGGTTGATCCTTTGAGGTTGGCAGGAGGCTTTAGCAAATGTCCTTCATTGGACTGAACAAGTCTGGCAGAGGTCATGCTATTCAGCAAAGAAAGTTTCATTAAAGGATACCTACCCCCCGCAGAGGTATACAAGCGCCCTTGGACTGTAGCAGGTGATTAGTCGTCTTTGCTTGAATGCCCCAGAACCACAAAGATTGCAGATCTTTTTGTACATTTACCTTCTCCGGTACATTGCCATAAACTAGAGCTCTGGAGCAACTGGCAGCTGCAATGATAGGCTGACAGGTTACAAACTCAGTACCAAACACTTTATGAAGGTGTCATATTCAGGGGGGAAAGGCAATGAGCCTTTTATATCTGCAATAAAGCCCAGTGATTAAATAGCAAAGTTCTAGCATGAAAGTTAGTCCCAGATGAGCACAAGTTTGTTCGTGTCAATTAAGTGAGAGTAATCGAGTCCAGGCATGCCTCAAATTAGTTCTAGTAAAGCTGTCACTTAAACAGGATGGTCCTGGACAGAAATCTTCAGATCTCTGAGATAATCCGTATCCACACAGTAGTGATGGCTGGACAGGAGATTTTGCACTAGCCGCAGACAGATGCTCTGGCTGGCTCATCCAGACTGGATGCGTATTTGTTGCAACCAACCCTGCCAATGTCCCCTACAAATTTAGCGCTCAATAAAAATCCAGCAACTGCAAAACTATATTTCAACAGCCCCTCTGATTGCTCCACAGTGTGCAGAGTTTAAATCGGACTGCATCGAGATAGGGTGTTTTCACAGCTGAAATTCAACCTATGAACAGAGTCCCATCATCCCCAGGAAGAGTTAAATCTCAAAGCCAGTTGGAAATTAAGATTACAGGCTGAGGAGAGAAAAAAGGGCAGGTTTGGCAAGACACGCCAACCACACTTTTCCCCCCACCCCCTGCTGCCAACAAGCTTTTCATTTGCCGGGTCACCAAACTGCAGGAAATTCCACTGTTTTATTCTAACCGAGCTGCACTGGAAAATAATCACTGTGAAAAACCAGTGCTTTTCAGCACACAAGACAGAGGACCTTCATTAGGAAAGGAAAAAATCTTTTATGTTTTCCATTAATGTGGGAAGGAATTTTATATTTCTGCCACTTAGGACTTTGATAGCTTTTTTT